CGCTCAGCAGCAGTATATGGATGAGCCCCCAGCCTTGCGAACGAATATGCCATGGCATACTTTTAAGGGGACAACATCTTCTCTAGAGGCCACTATGCAAGACTTTATGGCAACTACAAAGGCTCTATTACATGACACACATCTATTAAGAGTCAAGAAGAAGTATTACAAAGTCATGGAGCATTGTTGCAAAGTCATAATTTGTCTTTGAGAGCTTTGGAAATGCAAGTGGATCAAATTGCCACGGCATTACAAGAATACCAACCAGACAGATTGCCTAGTGATACTGAAGTCACTAAGGATAAAGGCAGTGAGCAATTTAGTACACCTCAGGGAGTAGCACCCAGATCTACAAAGATGCTAAGTTTGGGGGGGAAACACTCGAAGAACCTAGCTATGAGATTGTGCATGAAGAATCTCAATTGCAAGAGGACTTACATTCGTTGGAGAACAAAGTTGAAGGTTCAATGAGTAAACCCAATGATGGCAGGCAAAATAATGCCACGGCAAACGAAAAACCCCCACTAGCAAAAGTTGATGACCAAAGGGAAGCTGCAGAATTATGCCATGAAAATTTTGTAGGCACTTGTGAGTACTTGAAGCTCGATGAAGAAGACAAAGATGAGCTTAAGGATATTTCAAAAGAGACGGGTCAGTCTAGCTTACTCATAGCTAGACCAGGTACGAAATCTGAACCTTTGGATTTCATTGAATTTCCTCATCCTAAACTCCAAGTAGCTGTCCATTTTTCTAGGCTAGAAAGTGTGAAAGAACTAAGGAATGAAATGGAGATTAAATTCCCTGATGAGAAATTATTATTTGCCACGGCATTGTCGTGGTATGCTGACATTATCAATTTTCTCGTTAGTGGTATTTTACTTCCGTACTTGAATAGCCAGGGCAAGAACAAGTGGATGTAGGATGATGACCCCTACTTCTTCAAAGACTTTGTTACCCAAGCAATTAAAATATGCCACGGCAACGGGGAGCGAAAAGAGATCATATTTCACCACAAATTAGCTTTATGTGGAGAACACTCAAGAGGAGAGAGGACTACTGCAAAGGTCCTACAGATCAGGTTCTATCGACTTACACTGAAGGTGGCGCTGTTATATATATGGAGCATTTTAGTCTATACTGGTTCCAATCGAACGCGACAAAATTCCATAGTAATTCATGATGTTTGGAGTTGCATCCCTTCAACTCTCTTTAATTTATGTTTTAGAAGTTTTGTTTGTTTTTTTTCATGAGTGTTTGTTTGTTTTTCTTTGTTTTATTTCTTTATTTTTATTTTTAATATTAGTTCTTTTTAGGACGAAGGGTGTTTTGGAGGAGGAATATGATGAAATCTCATGAGGGAACTTCACAAACCAATATGCCACGGCAAATCTAGATGTAATTGAGGCTCTAACAAGACGCAGTCGTGGCACCTGTTCACAAGGATATACTCCCACATTTGGCTTATAATCTTCTCGTCATCCTGGACGTGATATTGCCATCATTTGAGGATGCCACGACATTTGAAAATGTCACTCAGCAAGACAGTACACCCAAGCCAGAGGATGCTAACCCAGGCAACATGGACTAGATGACGTCTGAAGTCATCTGGGCGTATGGAGACCTCAACATCTAAGAACACTGAAGGCCCTAGCACACCAGCTGCTGAACCCAGTTCTGATCCTGACAAAAGCCCCACATCACTGAGGAAGTGCACCAGACGCAATACTACTAGCACTGTCAGCGCGACTCCACCACCATCTTAGGAAGACAAGGTACCTTGCATGGAATTGCATCGCATCACATAGCATGTAGTCTAGTTTTAACTTAGTTTTTATTCAGCATTGAGGACAATGCTTCTCTCAAGTTTGGGGGAGGTAGTTCTTTTTAGAACATGTGTATGATAATATTAGCATAATGTTATGTCATGGCATCAGTAAATGGTAGGACAGTTAGATGAAATGTTTTGATGATACCTGATGATGATGAACTTTTTAGGCTAGAAATTGAATGTAAATGATTGTTGAGAATGATAGAACTGACTCTAGGGCTTGATGCTTTGTGAATTATTCTTACACGATTTGTATGTTTTCTATACTTAAAGAACTTAGGAAGTTTTTATGAAAGAACTCTGGTTAGCCTTGGCATTAAAATATGGTATTATGCTTAAATGATAAATCAATTAAAAAAAACTCCCTTATCTCTGAATTTTGTTTAATCGTGAATAAATGCTTCGGCATAGCTGTAGAGGGACACTCCTCTTTGCCGTGGCATTACCTGGAACTCTCTTTATAAATGGCAGCCACGCGCATACGTGAATGAAAGTAGTCACGGGATGACTCTACCTGACTAGCTTGGGGGTGGAAGGTATGCTCCCTTTCACCTAGAGTGTGGGATGGTAGGTGTGATGGGCTGACTCTCTTCGTAGCAGCGTAAAAAAAAGAAAAAGTGAAAAAAAAGAAAAAAAAGAAAAAAAAATGTGTACTAAATGAAAAGGGAGTATAAATGTGCTTAATGAATGAGTAAATGCTGTGGCAAAACTAGGGAACTCAATTAGAAATTGCCTAAATTCGTTAAGTATAGATTAGATACAATCAATCACACACAACACCATAAAGGATCTTGACCTAGGGAAAAGTACTTGAATTCTTGATATGTCTAGCATGTAGAAGCCGATTTTTCTGAGGGTTGAAATTCAATTTTTGTCTTGTTGTCCTACTGTTGAAATTGCCATGACATTTTGATTATGTTAATTGTTATCCATTGCTTGAGGACAAGCAATAGCTTAAGTTTGGGGGTGTGATAACTCCGTAAAAAGACTATTTTTAAGGCCCTTTTCACTTAAGTTATTGTTGTTTAAGGGTACATATAGGTCATTTTAGATATATGTAGCTGCATATAATTGCATTTGTGGTGGTTGTGTTATTTTATTTTATTAAGGTGCTATATGAGGAGGAAGGCGCAGTTGTTTTAGTGATGTGCAGGAAATAACAAACAAAATAGGCGAGTTGTGAAGTAATATCGTGGCATCGCACGTTGCTGAAGCAGATTGAAATGCCTTGGCAATCCTGGCGCAGAAAACGACAAAAATATATATAGCTGTACGTGGACAGCTGGCTCTGCACGTGAAATGATGGCTGTAACAGCCTGCTAGGGGACCACTGACACCTGGAGGATAAGGTTCACATGCAAGGTGTGATTCTAGGGGTATGAGGGGTATTTTGCACCCAACAATCACACAACAACCTCATCATTACCCCTAGATATTTTTATTATTTAAGGACACCTCACAAGAGAGAGGGTGTGGAAGAAAAGAAACGCATACTGTAGCAGAAAAATCAGATTTTTATTTCCCTTTTTCCTTTCTTCTTCCTTGGGTTTTCCTCCATTGATAAAGCTTCAAGGAGTGGTGTGCTAGGCGCCGAGAGGAGCTAGCGAGCTAAGGTGGTACGTGGTGGCCGAGGAGACCTCCGGTGGCGCGCGTCGAAGGCTCTTTCTCACTTCCCTTTGCTCCTATTTTATTTATTTTATTTGTGGGCTGTTGGAACGAATATTTTATGGATTTTTCTATGAATATTTCGAACCCCACCATGAACTAACTTATTTGGTGGTGGTTGGTTTAATGGATGTTTAAACTTTATTTTTAATGGTATGTTTAAGTTTATTTTGGTTCTTTATTTGCTTTGCTTATGAATGCTTCACCATCTAGGCTTGTAAGAGGCATGGAAATGTCCATTTCTTAGATGAAGGTTAGGTGTTCGGAAGAATCCTAAGCTAAAAATACTTGTAAGTATTCGGAAGACACGCAAGACAAGATCCTCATAAGCAATGGGTTATAGTATTTTCAAGGGGCTTTGAACCGACCTAAGAGTATTATAACCTAATCCCTTAGATCTCGGAAGAGACTAGGATAGGATTTCAACGACTAAAAAGGGTGTCTTTATCAATAGGGTAGGCTGTCCAACATCGTTGAGTGAGAGCAGATGCCTTGGCATCCTATTCTGTTAGGTTCCTGTGAGAACATTTTAGGAAAGCCCTATCGAGTAAGTAACGACCAGGTAGCTTAAATCTGCCTGAGAGATAAGTTTAACATCCTTAGATCAATCCCTACCATTCATTCCATTGAAAGCTTGTCACGTGAGGATTATCTTCTTTTTATTTATTTACTGTTTTTTTTACCATTTTCCTTTGCCATGACATTTCTTTTTGTTACTCATACACATTTCATTTGCCTCGGCATAATCATTTGTGAATATCATTAGCTATACTTAATTAATTTAGAATAGTGCATAAATTTTACTCAATATCCTTCCAATCCCTGTGGAGACGATACTCACTCATCACTGTATTACTTTTGCGATTGTGTATACTTGCACATTATTTGCGTATAATTTTATAGTACTCGCAATACGCAACATATCCCTTCGCCTACTAGAGCCTCCAACGAGCCTACATCTGGCAACTACAATACATATATAAAACCTCTGATAGATCCACATGACTTGTCAAAATGGAATCCAAGGTCTGACAATCATATCTATCTAGCCCATTAATCTACAAATAACTATAATGACCCTATGACTGACACGCGCACTAAAAGCCACTATAAATAACCCAAACCAAGACTGAAAAAAGGGGCTAGAACCTTCACAACCCTTGTATCATCTTCTTCCTCCATGACCAACAATTTTCTCTACAAAAATATTGACCAACAATTGTTCCTTCACCGATCGCAATTCTCCACCCAAACATTAATTGCAAATATTAAACAAGAATGAAAGTCTTGAATTTGAAAAACGGTGGCATATATTCTATCAAATATATTTTTTTGAGAAGAAATTAATAACCTCGTGACAAAGAGAATCACAAATATTAAGATCTACATTATATATAAAATCCCAATTAATTTAACAATTTTCATCTATAAATAGCAAGCTCAAAAAGCCAATTAGGTTCATCGGAAAAAAACTCAGTCAATAAACAATAATAGCAATTGATTTGTTATGGGGTTGGAATCACATAGAAAGCTTCCGGTTATCAATTTTTCTGAGAAGAATTTAAAGCCTGGATCAAGCGCTTGGACATCAACTTGCAACGATGTCCAGCGAGCTCTGGAGGAATGCGGTTGCTTCGAAGCAAAATTCGAGAAAATGTCTCCCCAGGTTTACGAGGTAGCTTTCGCCGGAGCCGAAGAGTTGTTCGGTCTCCCAACCGAGGTAAAAATGAAGAACACCAGCAATAAACAACCCTACTTCGAATACTTAGGACAATACCAATCTCTTCCACTCTATGAATCATTGGCGATTGACCATCCAACATCTTTCGATGCAACTGCAAGTTTCACCAATCTCATGTGGCCTACCGGAAACGATAGCTTTCGGTATAATTTTTTTGAACAAAATTATTCACCCACTTAAACCTTCTTTTGGGATAAACTATATCAATGCCCACTTAATTATTGCATCCTTTTAGTTTTGACCACCAATTTTTTAATCAGACTATTTAACTATTTATATGATGCCAATCAAACCACCTTTCATTAATATTTAACAGAAGTATTGATTTGACAGTTACCAAATTTTGAATAATTACATATTTGGTCCTTAATACTTATAAATTCTATCAATTTAGTTGTAATTTGAACGGAAGTGCTAACGTATCATCATTTGATTGGAGAATTAAATTTATTAAGTTAAACCAAAATTAGGATCACATTTATAGAATATATGAGTATTGAGGACCAAATATGTAATTATATCAATTTTTTTAACTGTCACGTCAAGATTTTCATTAAATGTTAACGGAAGGTGGCTTGATTGACATCATTTAAATAATTAAGTAGTCTAATTGACAAAATTGAAAATTCGGTGGTCAAAAGAAAAAAGATACAATAGTTAAGTGGTCATAAGTATAGTTTACCCTTTGTTTAACGATCCCTTAATTATGTTTACTGGGATTTTAACTTTGGATGAATAACAGTGTCGAGAATGTTATTCGAAAGCTATGGTGTTGGATATTACTATGATTATTACAGCAAAAATACGAACAATCTTCTTCGATACTTCAAATATAATGAGCCTAAGATGGAGCAGAGTAATGCAGGTTTGTTGCCCCATGCAGACAAAACTTTGTTTTCGATAATTCATCAAGGTAAAGTCAGTGGGTTGCAGCTGAAATTGAAGGATGATCAATGGGTTGATGTTCCACCATTGCCAACTTCTTTTTATTGTCATTGCTGGAGAAGCATTGATGGTCAGTACCCAATTCCCTAAAATCCTAAATTCATAAATTAATGTGCATTTTTTCACGAGGGATGAACGTTGAGATTTTATGTTAAGAGGGCATGACTTTTAAAATTTTAGAATGAAACGAATTTATAAAATTTTGAGGGATGAAAACAAATTATCAATGAAAATAGAAAGAAAATAGGGTAAAGTACACAAATGATTTTCCAATTATAGGACGCTAGTTTGTTGAGTCTTCCGACTATTAAAAGTTACAAAATAGTGATCCGACTATTCATATATTCCAAACTTGTCATTTTTCGTTAAAAAAATTGATAGTTATATGAGCTGGACGTTAACCTGTTGACTTGGATATGATAAAATCTGATCACATAACCGTTTAAGTTTTTTTTTGTGGGTCGACTCTTCGTTTATATTATGTCGTCGAGCTAGTGTTTGAAACATTATATCATTGAGCCAATGCTTAAAAACAACGGCAGTGCTAATAGACATCATTAAAATATGATTTCATCAAATCCCAATAAGCAGGTTAGTGTTCAGCTCAGACGACTATCAATTTTTTAACAAAAAACGACGAGTTTAGAATATATGAATAGTCGAGTCCTCATTTTGTAGCTTTTAATAGTTTGAGGACTCAACAAAGTAGCACTCTATAATTGGGGGATCATTTTATAACTTTTAATAGTCGGTGGATTCAACAAAATAGTATCCTATAGTCGATGGACCATTTGTATACTTTATCCAATAAAATATCTAAAATATACCCTAATTTAAAACTTTTAAGGGGATAACTGCCCCGTCCGTTCCCCTCAACCCATTCCTGTCTACCCCTGACTACTCATATATCTTTTTGTTTGTTTAGGCATGGAGTAATAACCGAATACCATCATGTTATCATCAAGTGATCCTCAAGGAGAAGGGAACAAGATACTCATTGGGGATGTTTTCATTCATTAGTGGAACCGTACACATCCTTGAAGAGCAAGGGGGCGAGACTCACCCCATCAAATACAAGTCCTTCGACCACTTTGAATTCCTTCATTTTGTGAAATTGAACCTGGGACCGAACTCCAACCCATGTTTGGTCAAAGACTTTACTGGTGTTTGAGACCTATGTTTCTATATATATGGTTGAAATGTTTGTTCTTAGTTGCCACATGAATGTTTATTAGTGTTAAGTGCTTTCTGTCTGAGTTTTAAACATTGTTCTTCAATAAAAGAATGATATTATCACGATCCAGAAACAAAATATCATATAGTTAGAATTTACATTTGCTAAGCTTAAACATTTGCTTTTCACATAGGGTTTAGAGAATCATTTGAATATGTTTATCATGATCATCTTCAGTTTTAGAGTACATAAGGATGTCATTAATAAACAAAACTTAAAATTGATTCATATAGAGTTGAAAACTTAATTCTACAAATCCATAACAGCACTAAATACAATTTTTGAGTTTTTAGACTATTTCACTTTCATGTGATAATATCCAAAAGGAAGATCGATCTCAGAGAATACTAAAACATCTTTAACTAATCAAATAATCGTTAATTCTTAGAAGGTGTATATTTATTTTTTATAGCTAATTTATCCAACTGACGATAATCAATACAGAGCTTCATTGAACTATTTTTCTTCCAAAAAATAATACAAGAACATCCTAAGGTGATATGATTGGTCGTATAAAGCCTTAGTCTAACAATTCTTGAAGTTGTGCCTTCAATTCTTTCAATTTAATTAGAGTCGTTTAATACAAAACAATTAAGATTTATATAGTCTCATCTTATAATTCAATTCCAAATTTTACCTCTAAATTGGGAAACACATCAAAATACTCACTAACAGTTGGAATTGATTCTAGCTTTGGATCAAATTTTTGGGATCAAACTATAATTTTTTACAAAATTAATTTAAAATTTAATGATTCAATATTTAAAATAATTATTTTTAATTATAATTAACATATAAAATAATGATATTATAATTAAAATATTATTTCTAGATCAATCAATATCATCAGCACTTGTCATCTACCTGTGATTTTCAATATATTAAACAAATTACTTTTATTATTACATAAGTTCTTGTCGTTTTATTTCTAGACTCGGTATCATTGGAATTTTTTAACATATACAGATAATATATATACTATTATTAGATAAGTTCTTGTCGTTTTATTTCTAGACTCAGTATCATTTAAATTTTTTTAACATATACAGATAACATATATACTATTATTTTAACATTTCATTTTGCGCATTATAGATGTGATTATTTTAAAATTGTTTAATTATCAATTTATTATCTATTAGAAATGTCTAATAAAACAAATCAATTTCATTTTAAATTGGATTTAAGCTTATGGATTAGCATTATTTTACTACTTCTACGATGCTTTATTATTAATTTTATTTTATTAATTCAATGAAATTTTATTAATAAAAGAGGTAATGATTTTTATAAATTTTTTTATAATTATTAATTATTTAATAGTTTTCTAGTGATATTTTTTGTTTGTTAATGTGAGAATTTTAGAGTATGTCAATGCGATAATTTTAGAGTGTGTTGTGCGTTATTATTCCATCGACTCGTTTATGATTTTTTGATTTTTAAAAAAAAAAGATAAACCTCGTTAAAAAATCTTTAATCAGAATAATTTAATTTGATCAATTAATTCATTTAAAACCGAGAAACAACCTTTCCCTAGTAATCCCCTAGCTAAACAACTCTTCTATAAATATCATATTGAAAAAGCCAATAAACCAATGAAGAAATATAACAGTTATACCAATAGATTCATTATGAGTTCGGAATCACAGATAAAGCTTCCCGTTATCCATTTTTCTGACGAAAATCTAAAGCCTGGATCAAACACTTGGACATCAGCATGCAACGATGTCCGGCGAGGTCTCGAGAAATGCGGTTGCTTCGAAGCAAAATTTGAGAAGATACCTGTCCAGGTTCACGATGCAGTTCCCAACCGAGGTAAAAATGCAAAACACCAGCAACAAACCTGCCTTCCATTATTTAGGACAACTCAAAACTCTTCCACTCTTTGAATCTTTGGCGATCGACCATCCAAAATCTTTCGATTCAACTGCAAGTTTCACCAATCTCATGTGGCCTGATGGAAACGATCGCTTTGGGTATAATTTTTTTGAACTAATTTACAAACTGAACTTTTTTTAACCATCTCATACTTTTCTGGGGTTTTGACTTTGGATGAATAATAGTGAAAGTGTTCAAAGCTATTCGGAGCTGGTGACGGAACTCGATCGAATTGTGGCGAGAATGTTGTTCGAAAGCTATGGTGTTGGATATTACTATGATTATTACAGCAAAAATACAAACTATCTTCTTCGATACTTTAAATATAATGAGCCTATGATGGAGCAGAATAATGCTGGTATATTACCTCATACAGACAAAACTTTCTTTTCTATAGTTCATCAAGGTAATATCAGTGGGTTGCTGGTGAAAGTGAAGGATGATCAATGGGTAGAAGTTCCTCCGTCGCCAACTTCTTTTGTTGTCATGGCTGGGGATGCATTGATGGTCAGTAATCCATTCTCATCTTCCATAACCTCTGTATTAAGTATAATTACAATTTGGATGATGTTGGTTTGTTTAGGCATGGAGTAATGACCGAATACCATCATGTTATCATCAAGTGATCCTCAAGGAGAAGGGAACAAGATACTCATTGGGGATTCTCTTTCATTAGTGGCACCGTACATATACTTGAAGAACTAGGGGACGAGGCTCATCCCATCAAATACAAGTCCTTTGATCACTTTGAATTCCTTGATTATATGAATTCGCGTGGGAGTACAAACCGAAAAATTAGTATTATCAAAGAGTTTTCAGGCATTTGAGACTGTTTCTATATGATTGAATAGATTGTACTTATTTGCCGCGTGAATGTTCACTACTCTCAATGCTTTGTGTTTCTATTTTAAACTTTGTTCTTCAATAAAGGAAAAGCTATGCAATGTCATTTCCAATGTTGAAAAATTCGAGTCAAAAAACCATTAATTGAACAACTCTTGTCTTTCAAAAAATACAATGTCCACATAACTCTAATTTATTAATGGTTTTTTCGTCAACGAGTCATCTTTTGCTTAATTCTTTCGGGGTAGAACGTGACTTATTATCGCGTAGTAAAAAAATGTGATATTTTGATAAATATTAGAGAAATGATTTGCCATTTTAGTAAATAATAAATTTTAAGGTGATTTTTAGTAAAATTGCTTACAGTGTCACATTTATATGATTTTGAAAATTTTATTTAAAATAAAAAATATTTTTTTAACAGAAGCTCAATTTTTTTGGAAATCATAAAAAATCTCAAAACTTTGAAAATCCTAATTCAATCCCTAAATCCACACTTTGTCGCCACTAAACCTCTTCCTGGCGAACAACCACCAGAACAAGAGCCAATAAATGCTAAACCCGACGAAGAACAAAGCTGTAAATTGCAACATCATGTGACCTCGACGGTATTTGACGACAAGGGCGACGATCAAGAAGGAGATGTCAAGGGTGGCGGAGGCGATGACGACCGTGGCCGGCAATGGAGATGATAAGGTTAGAGTTACGAATTTTAGGGTTGATTTTAAGAATTTTCGAATTTGATACTTTTTTGTAATTTTAGAGAAATTAGGATTTTTTAAATATAATAATATTTTAAGTTTTTTTAAATAAAATTTTTAATGAATGCAATATGTGACACTTAATGGACTTTTAACGGCCGTTATGACCGAGATATTTAAAATGAAACGTTTGTAACGTTAGACACTGGATTGACCAAAAATAGTCTAGGCACCTAAATGGGAAAAAGGCAGGGCGGAGCTAGAAAATTATTTAAGTATCAAATTTAAAGAAATTTTATTTTGGGTGTCAAATTAGAAATTATATGAAGAATTTTTTTAAGTGGATGAAAATAAATAATGAGTATTATTTATGTTTAAGGTTAATATTCTTGTAAAAGTATGTTTATTTTGTTTTTCATTACATTTTTATATTA